ATTGAAAAAGTTGTCAACTTTTTCATTCATCGATTAATCGGTTTCAGATTGGTTCGCCCTGTTCACGGCTCCACACACAATGCGCGCCACACCTCCTCCCCACCTCACGCTTGCCGCTGCCAGACCCGCCTGGCCGCACCCACGCTCCACACGCCGCACCTCCTCCCCGCCTCACGCTCACCGCCCACCCACATCCACGATCGGCACAGGGATGCGGGGAAGAATGCATGATAAGCACTTCCGTGTGTTGTGTGCCGAGATTGCAAAAAAAAAAAATGGTGCTTGTCCGATTTTAGGTCCGCTTGTAGCCCATTCAAATGAATGGTGTGCGCTAATGCACCACAACAGAGCACCTCAGTGTTAGTGGGCCCTCATTTCCTTCATCTAGTCATTTACTAGATGTATGCTGGCACACGGAAAAAGGTTTTTGGATACTTCCCATAGTTGTCCAGTGGTTACACAACCACCTTCAGCACTTTGGGGGGGGTAAAGTACTGATCAGTGAGCTTCTGACATTTGGGACAGGGTGAGACTTGGTAACAGGAACCAGTTATTTCATGCTTTTTAGTTGTAATTCATTTAAAAATGTATGTATAGACGAAATAGAATTTTTGCATGTCCCATAAAATCCTTTCTTGGAGTCCATTGACGGACACAATTCAGATACAGTCGGGTTATATAGCCACCTACGGGAGGAGTGAACACTGGCAAACAAAAAGATTATAGTCAGCATCCAAACAGAATTGTCACAGGTAGCGGCCAGTAGTAGAACCCAGTGACGCCTCCCTGCTGCTGGAACCCCAAATTTGACCCATAGGGAGAAAAGGAAAACCTGGGTACTTGAGTAGGGACAAGCCCAGACTTACTACCCTCAGTGACAGCTAACTTGGCAGTTAAGGGGAGGGAACAAGCCCCATAAAGTCTTTGTCCCCCTGTGAACATTTCCCACAAGACAGCAGTCTTCAGGGACAGGGACCACAGTGAACTTGGTTCTGTAAAACACCCTGTGGCCACTACACATGCTGCACAAATTTGAGAATACCTGGGTTACATAGCCACCTACAGGAAGAGTGAACACTGGCAAACATATGTTAAGTCAACATCCAAACTAACGGAATTGGTCTCAGGTAGCGGCCAGTAGTAGAATCCAGTGAAGCCTGATCTGGCCAGATGTTGCAGGTGTTAGGCCCTTCAGGAAGGTGTTGACTACCAGGTTCCATAAAAGAGGACTCAAAAAGGAGGTTGTTTGAGCATCCCACTATAGGGATGCCAGGAAAGGGCAAGAGACTGAACACAAGGGTCACTGCTCCAAGAAGCAGCAGGTGTGCCCGAGCAGCATTGATGAACCAGGTCTCCTTACCAGGTAGGAGGCATCCAGAGCTGGTCCCAAGCAGCCAAGTCAAGGAATCCCTCTGTAGAACAGTGAGGTGTACCATGCACTTCATGTTGCAGGAATAAGGGACTTTCCGAGGAGGGGAAGGGAGGCCTGGATGATGGCTCCAGAAACATGACTGGAGCAAAGGGCTCCAAGAGAGAGGAACCCAGGGAAACTAGGCTTGGGGCATTGCAATAAGTAGCAAGTGAATGGGGCACAGGAGGAAAAAGATTAGCACACAAGCGCAAAGCCGCACTTCCTGCACCGGAATGTGAGACAAAACTACCCAAGGACACGCCAGGATGTACAATCAGTACCCCACTGAAAGAAATGGGTGTGCATCTTCATGCAGGCAGCTTTTAGAGGGGTTAGCAGACCTCTGGCTTTGAGCCCCATGGGCCAAGTGGGAGTCAGGCTCCTACATTGAGGCAGGAGTAGGCTTTGGCCTCCTTGACAATCCTAATCATAGTGTCAAGTGCAGGGCTGAAGCAGATTCAGATGCTCCTTGGATATGGCATTAGCATCTCAGCAGCATAGCCAGAGTGCTCTGAGCATCTGTATGGACATAAGGACCCATGCGGCACACAAGGGGAAGAGTGCTAGATTGCACATGTGGAGCCTGGGATAGTGTACAGTCGGCATAGAGGAATATTTTGAACAGCTGTGTAAAGGGAAGGTCTTCCCAGCTGTATGGACTCTAAAAACCAAGGCTGGAGAGGGCAAGGACATCCTCCACATTCAGAGTAGTGCACACTGCATCAATAACATCTAAAAAGACTTGTAATACTTGGAAGACGCAAGGAGATCGTCAAGCCTGAAAAACAGTTTCTTCTTCAGAGAGAGACTATGAGGAGTCAGAATCCAAGTTCAAGATGGTCACACGGATTAGTGATTCGGCCTGATCTAAGAGCTCTGAGGGTCAGCGATAGACTCTGCAGAATATGGTGCTAAAGCACCTTTAGAGACCGGTCAGTTGAGCACATTAAGCCGAGACGTCCTGAGTGGACATGGAGGAGACCCAATGTAGTGGAGGAAATCAGGTGAACACCCTATAACTATAGAGGCACCAGTTCCCTCAGAGGATGCTGATAAGATGCCTCCAGAACCACTAGGGGCTGGAGTCCCCAATAGCATTGGGACTGCAATCTCTGTCTATGTGCAGACATGTTGCTTCTAATGTGTGGGGAAAGGCCCTCAGGTACTCAAAAAGCCATGCAGCTGGTGCTAAAGAGGGTCAGACGGACAGGAGGTGACCAAGTCACTGGAGGCAGACAGTGGAAACAGACCGGAGTTCCACATAGTGCATTGCAAAAAAAGGAGTAGCAGGAGAATGGGGCTTCCTCTACACTGAACGGCAGACAAGAGAACGCAAAGCACGTTTGTGTCATTCCACCCATGACCCTCAGCGTTAACCCTTACCGTGGTGAAACTGGTGGTGACTGGAAATTTGAAAGGAGCCCAGTGGTGCAATAGAAAGCTAGCTTCCGATGCTTTTGTGCAAACACTGTTACTCACAGAATGGGTCTCCAGAGACAGTGTCAGGCTCTGGACCTGGAAAGCGCTTGGTGGATGACTTTAACCGTTACACAAAGGTCTGGAAATCACCAAAATGCAGAACCCAGTGCCCGAAGGTCACATTCCAGTCTGGCCCTTCACAGCCAGTACAGCAGCATCTGGGTACAGCACTCCCAAGTCAGGATTAGGAAACAGTAATCCAGGTACCTGCTATGAGGAGACCAGCTCAAGCAGTGGTGTAGCAAGGAGTCTTGATCGAAGTCAATGGAAGAAAAAAAAATCCATGAATTGAATAGTAAAATACTGAGGCATGCTGGGTACAAGGAGTTTTACGGGGGCTGGTTTATAATTTTTCTGTCTGCCAGTGTTCAGTTATCCTGTAGTCGGCAACACATCCAGACTATCTGAATTCCTGTGTCCCTCAATGGATGAGTTTTGGATAGAGTAGGGAAGGGTCAAGATCCCAACCAGGTTATTGCTTGGCATCTGTGTAACAATGGGAAATATTTATACATTCTGACCCTACAATGCAACAGGAAGTTAAGATGAAGTTTCCCAAAGTGAGGGAAAATTCCCCTCTTAGATATGTGCCCCCATTGGAAGATTTTCTCCTTACCTTTGTTTCTACTGAAAAAGCAGTGGAGGGGGAAGGGTGAATGACAGGGCATGGTATGTATGCCCTGGGTCAGGGGTAGACAAACTCCGGCCCTCCAGCTGTGGTGAAACTACATATCCCATGATGCATCTCTACGGGGATCATATCTGTGGCTGTGAGAATCTTGCAATGCCTCATGGGATTTGTAGTTCCACCACAGCTGGAGGGCCTGAGTTTGGCTACCCCTGCCCTGGGTATTTCACTAAAGTGTTTTTGGGGAGTAATTAGCAAACAAAAGTACACAACTGAGTAACAAAACTGCCCATTCACTTTAATTGTACAAGCAGTGCATACAAATTGACAAGAGGGTGACTAAACCACACCCAGGACTTAGAAAAATCACACCGACACCAAGTGAGAATTAAACCTTTTATTAGTGTATTCACATATTCGGCAAATGCAACACGCACAAAGCTTATGTCAAGTTCACGAGTTCTACCAATACACCGAACTACTGGTAAAACTAGTTCACAAATGTTAAATGCTTTTGCCAATTACGCTTTTTTTTACGGTTTGGCTTTCTGCTTACCACTGAAAAGTCTCGGAATTGCATCTATGTACTACAGCAAGCATCCTCAACTCCAGATCTTCAATGACCCACAGCAGGGCATGTTTTCAGGAAGCCTTTAATTTTTTTACGCGGTGGGCACAAACCGGGCGAGTGGAACATTCCGCCTGTCCCCCCCCACCCCTCGAAGAAGAAACTCTTCAAACATGGCCGGCGGCAGGATGGGGGTAACGATACGCTATACAGGCGCGTAATCACTTTCCGCAACTTAGCCTAGTGATTATTCAACCTAACACTGGCCACAAAGTTTGTTCTGAAAGCCAACAAAGGTCACTAGCTGTACTTACAAAGTACATTACTAATGTAGTCAATGCAGCCCAGGGAGAAGGGGGGAAAAGAGAGGGAGATAGGGAGAGAAAAGAGGGATGAAAGGAAATCCTGCCACTCACGTTTATAAAAAGAACAGACAGCTACAGAACAAGTTTGTTAGTAAGATGTACACTTTAAGTCAGAGTACCCTTGTCTACACAACCTTTGACCCCCACCCGTCCCTAAATGCAGACAGCCGGAAAGATACTTTTATAGGGTGCAAAATGTAGTGTCCAAGGGCCCACAATAACATGCACTTAAAAAAAATCATCCTTCAAACACCTTATTTCTCTAGAATCACAGACACACCCTAATCAGGATCTAAAAATGTATAACAGCAAAAAAAAATTAAAAAATGTAGTAACTATACATGACACATAAGAGGACTGCTCGTTATTGTTAAACCATTTGGACACTCCGATATATGCCCAATAATACATTAAATGTCCTTTAAAACATCCCTTCCCAAAGTAAGGAGTGACTTCACACTGCACTTTCCTCTACGGTATCAGAAAACGTTATCCAACAAGGTGCTTTAAGCTGATGGGACCTCAAGTGCTGTTTCTCAGTATTTTTTATTTTGGATTTGTAAACAGTTCCTGGGGACCACACACAAATACTAATGGACAGACGAGCTGAATTAAGTCTGTTGCCAAGACTTCGTATTGAACCCACAGGTCGTACAAGGGGGTTAAAAAATAAAGATAGAAGCCCCATTAGGACATGCTGGAGCAGCGGACTGAAGGAGAGCCCATTTGAGTCAACACTTTGTCCAGCCATTGTAAAGGTCTGTTTAGATGAAGCTCAATCCAACATGGAGTGCTTGTGACTGTCTGCCGCCTGAAAAGACAGGAGAGAAATGCTCAGACAGGGGAAGACAAAAAACAGCAGACATGTCAATGCTGCAGGAGTGAAAAAACATAATATTCTTAAAGCGTTAAGTCCAATAGCAAACAGTAGGTGTTACTAACCTCCCCTGATAAAGACATCCTTGTCAGTTTGCCCACTCTGAGCAGAGTGACTGTGCCTTCTGAAAGCCCCTTCCCTGCCAGAGCTGCATTGCTCTAAACGAGTGCGTCTAAGCATGGGGGGGCATGCGGGATTTAACCAATTTGCCAGGCCTGAACACAGTCACATTAAGTATTGGTGATGAGGAGGGTGGTGTTCATTCACAGGGGTAAGGTCATACACAGAAGTGGAGTGATGACTCTTGCCTTCCAGCAGCAGACGCTACCACTTTGCCATGAATGAGACATTTAAAAAAGGAGAATTATGAGGTGAGGAAAAAACACTCATCCCCATAATTCAAGCTGACCTGTGACAAAGAAGCTGTCACAGGTCGGCTCTATTGTTTGGTAAATCAGCAAACAGACACCGCCGATTGCCGACTTCCCGATCATCTCACTGCAGAGAGCGGTGACTGTCAGTCATTGCTGCCCGCAGGTATTATCCCCCCTCCGATCTTCCAGCACTGAGTGGAGGAACGGATGGGGGAGGGGGCGGGCACAGCTGGCTCTGCCTCTAGATAGGCAGAGTCCGTTGTCAATCAGCCAACAGGGTGGATCTCGGCAGTCTTGTCGGGATCCGTTCAAGCTGCAGCGCTCTCCGTATATAGCGGGCTACTGAGTTTTGGGTCACGGGAGGAGGTTAGTATATGTCCTGACGTGACCTTAAAGAGAACTATGGGGGGAAAAAAGATTACCCCATAGTTCTCTTAAGAACATACAAGCAACTATCCAACAGAAAATCTTCTGCATTTCTCTGCAGCAATCTGACATTGCCACTAGGTCAAGATGCAATATTCTCTTTATTGTAGGGGTGGGTAAAACTGGCAGCTAGGATTTTTGGTTTTGCCTTCATCAGAGTCAACGGTATTTAACCCCTTCATGACTGAGGCCCTTTTTTCAATTTTTGCACCCATGTTATATTCCACATTTTAGGCCTGAAAATGACGTAAAACCCCCCAACATTATATATTTTCTGAATGCCAAGACCCTATAGAATAAAATGGTGGTAGTTGAAAATTTTTATGTTGCGCAATATTAGCGCAACTCCTTATTAAACCCCAAAATTTAGTGACAAATTGAATTAAATGCACAAATAAACTTTTTAAAGTAATGTTTCACCTGAAGCCTTTTAACCTTAACATGCAGCAAAATTGCATGGGTCTTACCAAGGTGGAGGAAGAAAGAGGGCATGAGAGAGAGAGAGAGAGAGAGAAGCAAGGTAGAGAGCTGCACAAGTAAAGAGTACCTGTATTCGGCACCCCAGCCTTTCACAAAGCTCATTCTGATGGTGCACATTCTGGTTAATTGGTAAACTGCTTCAAATCCCTGGTTTACTGACTGAGCAAGGAGGGCAGCAAACTCTTGATTATTGAAGATCTTCAGGTTACAGCCTGTAATTAAAGAAATATTCAGAGCAAGTAAAACAAAACGTTTACATTATAAAGAATAAGAGAGTTAAAACAGAAGTACAATTACATAGCAAAAAACAGTTAGCAGGTAGGCGGTTATGGCAGGAGACAATGCATGCCTCTTCTGCTATAAAACATTGTTCTATCTTCCATCAATGTTTCTCTGTATTATACAAGGACTAACATATGTGCAGCCCAGTGACCAAACCTGGCAGTAAGAGCACGGTGCCAGGACAAAGTAACTACTGTGCTTAGAAACTGAACGTCCAATCACCAGGCCCGTGTGGATTCCTGCAGCAGGGAAGGGAGCGTGGGGCAGGGAGTATACCTTTTTGGGAGGTTGTGCTATCAGCAGACAATGAGGTCTCTTTAAGTTAAGTGTTTGGAGTTGGATTTTAAATATTGGCACACAGCATCATGGTTTACAGCTGTATATCTAAGAAAATCATAGGAAAGACTATATAGTCACATAATGATGAAGGATTAATTGAAAGGCCTATGTAAAAGGAAAGTTAGGTTAAGGGGAAGGTTAAGTATCAACTTTTGCAGTTATGTTTGAGGAACAGTTTGGATCCAAGTGTGATCAACAAAAAACAATCCTGCCTGCTGCCTTTTTGGTGTAGTTTTTAGCAAATTGATCTCCCATGGAATAAAATGCATCAAAAAGTCAGGGCAACACATGAAAATGCAGCAACAAAAAACAGGTCCAAGGGGTTCAGATGGGGGGAGAGCCAAGTATTCTACTCGGGACAAGTGAAATGAAAGGGGGGGGAAAAAAAAAAGTGCAACTGGGGTCCCTGGAGGATAAGTGCACTTAGGAAAAACCCTGTTCTGCCTATTTAATACTGTACTTGTATCCAGCAAGTACAGTAACATATTAAAGCTTCAATGGCATCTTTGTCCTCTGCAGGCAGAAAGCTTATTCTGCAAATAACTGACAGCAATCACAAGTTCAAGAACCACTGACTGGTTCCCAATCATTAGCGAGAGCCCCCAAACATGGAAACTCTGCTTCCATTTCTTAAGCCCCCAAACATGGAAACTCCGCTTCCATTTCTGAAAGGAAGTATATTTATTAATGTATCCTCAGCGAGGGGAATCATGCTGAGGAAGGCTAAATATCCAGAATGTGGATGGGAAAGGGTTAAAGTCATACAGCAGAATTCTCATATGACCGAGTAATGCCAAGGGGATGTCCTAGGGCAGAAAAAGAAGCAGCAGAATAAAAGCTCACCTGGAGGAATCTTACACACAGTCGCTGGATGCCATCCATACCGCTGATTACAGTTTGGACTCTGGACAAAAATCGCACTATCGCTGAGGCACTCTGCAAATACTTCTCCACCAATGTAATACAACCGAACTCCTCTTCCTGCGTGAACACAACACAATTTTTGCACCTGAGATTTCGGTTAAAGAAGAAAGGAAAAAGCTGCTGCTGTGCTACCTCTAGAAAACATGAACCATGAGCGCCCCTTAAATGTTTACTTGTTTTTTTAGTAAAAAGAGACCCTGTCACCAGATAGAAAGTTTTCTTTAAAACGCTCAGTAGTGGTGAATGATCTGTACTCAATTTTTTGCCAACTTGCTCTTCGCAAATCCAAGTTCCAGGAGTGTCAGATCCCTCTGTGTGCTGGTCTTAGCTGCTGCTCCCCCCTCGTCACTGCGGTGTTTGCATGCTCCCTGCTCAGTCTTCTGTCTCCTGTGACAGCATAGGAGACTGAGCAGGAAGAGTGTACACACTGCAGCGGCATGGGAGGGGTGCAGCAGCAGCGTATGGTGCTAGCACAATGATGGATCCCTAGAAAGCTGAAGTTATGTCTTGGGTAAGCTACAAAACATCTTCAACATTACAGAACGCGGTCCAGTTGAATGTGACTACCAGCTATACCACGACCTGGATTAATGACTACTAATTACGCATGCACATATCATATACTACTATTGCAAGTGTTTAAAATATAATGTCTTGTGACAAGGTCTCTCCAACCATGGAGGAGAAGGAAGCCAACATAAAAAAGGTATTCAGCAGTGACCAAGCAGATTGCTTTTACTAAATACCTCGGAGCCGGCTGAACAAACTGGCATCAAGCTCACTTAACCTCCCTGGTGGTATGATTTATTTTTTTCCTTTTTTGGTTCTATTTTTTATTTCTTTTTTAAACTTATAAATCTCCCGCCGGTTCCGCCCCCATGTGACGCGGATGCTCGCAAGGGACGGAACCCGGAAGACAGATGCCGGAGGACACAGCGCGGCTCGAGTAAGAGACGCGCTGTGTATTCCCGATGTGGCTCGGGGTTACCGCTTATGGTACAGAAAATTACCCCCAAGCCACACTCAGGAATACTGCTAAGGAGGTTAAAGTCCTTGACATTTATAAATATCACGTGGACTTCAAGTGGTCAAATGCCAAATCTATACATAAACTGTTGCTGTTGAGTAAATAGCAATAGTATATGTTGCCTAGACCCTGGCTCAAAATTTCCACTCGCCCACTCGCAATTTGCGAGTGAAAATTGCGAGGGGGCGAGTGGAAATGAAGCCATTGAGTCACTCAGTCATGGACCGAGTGCCTGATGACTTGCTCCTATGCTTCTGCCCACAGCCGTGCATCGTCCCATATTAAAGATGGCTGCATGACGACAGCCATCTTTACCAAGGTCCGTTCTTGTATCCTAGCTCTTGTATACCACCTACGTGACACTCACCCACTGCTGTTACGGTGGCGCTCTAAAAGTCAAACTACAGCTCCCATAATCCTCGGTGCACAGGCACAAAGTTATATAACTGGACAGGACGTCCTGCCTGTGCACCGAGGATTATGGGAGCTGTAGTTTCACTTTTACAGCGCCACCGTGACGAGAGTGTGTGTGCGGCCACTGCCTCTTTAGGGGACCCTGGTCTGTCATGTGCTGGAGAACAGGGAGCAGTGAGAGCTGGTGAGAGATGCTGCTCGTCCACATGATCCACACTCTGTACCGATCTGGGCACTCGAGGGCCTCTGCTAGGGGAGGCAGAAATGGGCTAGCTATATTAGGATGAAGGTGGAACGATAGACCACTAAATTCATGGACGTCACAATACAGGGGAAGCCCTGGGCTGAACTGGCAGACCACAGGAGGGGCTCCAACAGCTTACTGTGCCACAGGTCCCCTTCATGCAGCCTGAGCTGCAATAACTATGCATGGGACCAGAGTTAGTCCCAAGTGTCAGGCCCCTGCCAGCAGGTAATTCAAGGAGACAGAGATGGGTTGGGGTGCCATTTGTGTCTTGTGGGTGAATGTGCATGCGTAATGTCCTGTGCGTTGTTTTGTGGCTGTATGTGTAATGTACTGTGCCCCGTGCGTTGTGCTGGTGTGTGTTGTGCCCTGTTTGTGTTTGTTTGCGTTATGCAGGGCAACTAGTGGCGAGTAACTTTTCAGGCCTGGCTAGTGGCTCATGACCTGAAATTTGGAGCCCTGGCCTAGACAATGGCAACACCATGCACAAGAAAAATGTAATGGTCTCCATAACACAGCTAGTCAGGCATATAGTTAGTAATACAGACAATGTTATCACCCATGGGTGGAGAGAATACCTATATGGCGCCTGGTCATTTCCACTGTGGCATTACGGTTCACATTAGAGAGTAAACCTAAGCAGAATCTCTCAGAATTTGATGGATCCGTGAAGCCATCGACAGTGAGCGAAGGCTGTGATGCGTGGAACGTTTCCCCCACTCGCTGGTTCAACTCGTAGTAAGCTATTGAACACCAGAAGGCTGGCTCAGAATAAGTAACAGGCTGCAAATCTGCGGAGGGGACACAATAAGCAGATGTTATTATAAAAAGGGACAGGAGGGGAAACCGGCATCATAAAAAAAAAAAAAAGAAGACTTCAAGGAATATAAGAGAAACATGTAAACAACTAACAGCTCCAGATTACACTCTACAGAGGGAATACATGCCATGAGTAGCCTGGAAGTGGCACACGCAAAGAGCGTGTATGTGAGCATTGGGTGCTAGCATAGCAAATGCAAATTCCATCCAGATCAGACAAAATTAAGCGTCCTAGGGAATCTTGAATAATTTTTAGGAAATCCATCCATCGGACCCAGTTTTAAAATAGCAGCTCAGACTCATTGATTAAAGTCCTTCACAACAATAGGCCTAAGGCCTCATTCACACAGCTAAGTGTCGGCCCGTACAGATCCGTGAGGCGTGCACGGTCATATCGGGCTGCTCCTGGGAAGGACAGGTGCTGCCTGTGATTGTACGTAGCAGCCTGTTCTCCATGGGAGTACGCGGCTGTATGCCGCCATATGCTCACCCAAACAGTACATTTGCGCGGGTGTCCGTGCTCGGATCTATCCTATCTGCCTAAGAGTATGAACACCCGCACAGGTGTGCAGTCCGGGTGAACGTACGGCCTCACACTCTATAGAGAAGGACAGGGGCTGCGTACAATCACACGCAGCACCTGTCCTTCCCGGGAGTGGCCTGATACGGCTGTGCACGCTGTCTCCTGCTGTGTACGTTATATTCTGACAGTAGCACCGGTCACTGTCGGAATACCCAAAGAGTGCTTGCAGCTGATTGGCACCCTTCGACCCTGGAATTTTCAGCATGTCCCCCACAATCATGCTGGAAAAAAAATCGGCCCACCAACGAATAGACATTCACTCCCTGTGAACCCAGCCTAGGCCTACCCTCTCCACAGGGTGACAACCCTGTTGTATTATTTAACGTCAGAGAGAACAGCATTGTTGACAGAAGTGGAAAAGTATAGATATATATCTACAACATAAAATGCAGGAGTACGTTTGGACAACACAGCGTTTACGACTTACCCAAGCTGTGATTGACTGGGGAAAGTGTACTAGGAGAAAGCTCGGCTGGTGACCCTGTGAAGACAATACAAATATTAGCATGTTGATCTATAAAGACATATTATAATAACACCAGCAATGTACTCCTACAGACCACATTGTACCAGATTGCAGACATAAGTGTTAGTCACCCTTCCTGTCCAGGAGCTGAAGTATTAAACTAGCAACAAATGTGCACAAGTCCTAAATAAACAGCAATTCCGGTAAAATTTGAGACTCTGCAGACTAGAACTGAGGAGAGTCATCACAGAAATACATGGTGTGTGAATGAATGATTTACATTTAAAAAAAAAAGTTTTTAACCACTTGAAGGCCATAGTGTTTCACCCCCTTCCTGGCCAGGCCATTTTTCAGTATTCAGCGCTGCGGTACTTTGACTGATGTTTATCTCCGGGTAAATTAAATCTTAACCCTCGCAGTGGGGAAACCCTTGGCACTGCAAAGGTTAAGTGCTCGGCTCCTAGACCAGTCCCTGCAGCTTGTCTCCTTCTCCACTCCAGCGATGGAATGTCCTTCGGCACCCTCATGTCCTATACAATGTACAGGACTAGATGACTCACTGGACCTTAGGACAGGTGGAGCAGAGGGGGAGCGAAGCTACAGAGAACGATCTAAGAGCCAGCCAGGATCAAGGTTTGGGCGAGTCAAATTGTTATTTTAGCTCCCTTGACAATCGAGCACTTGAGCCTTGCATGCAGGGAGTAGTCCCACTGCCAGGGTTAAGATTTTATTGGCCTGGAGATCTTCTTAAATGCACTTTTATCCCTATTAACAGTCCTCCAGATCTCATTGCTGCATGATTTTCCTGGCTCTGCATAGCTTTAGTCTTGCCCCCATCCATGTCCTTTGTCTCTGCTTTATAACAAAACTGATGAAAAACTGAACTGAAGAACTTTTGCTGATCCCAGCACAGCTCTTGAGAACAAAGAAAAAAAGGTGCAAGACTTGGTTTGTAAAAATGAATACATCATATAGGTGTAGGCAAAAGGCCCGCAGCCCTGATACCACCTATAAAAACACAGCCTCTGGAACGCACTGGAACACAACCCCGGCCGGCTCACTTTGTTGTGGGGCATGGAGGTGCAATCAACTCAATTGCACCGCAGTCACGCCCACCACCCGCGGTGCGATTGCCGGCATCGCCGAACATGTGGCACATTAGTTACTGCATTCCAGTCCAGTGCGAGCTGCAAAAAATGCTGCATGCACTATTTTTTGCAGATCGCACTCGACCAGAACGCAGGCACTAATGTGCCACCCATTCGGGTGGCCGCGATCGCACCGCGGGTGGGGGGCTTGGCTGTGGTGCCATTGAGTTCAATGCACCACCACGCCCCCAAAACATAGTGAGCCGGCTGGGATGAGTTCGAGGCCGAACACACTCTTGATGGTGTGACTGGGCCCTGAAAATGATTTAGTGGCCATCTCTATCCCAATGAGGATGGCAGGAGAGATCACGCTATCCAGTTCCTGTGCTAGGGGAAGTGACTGGTTTGCAGATTCGCACACACAACGGTAGCATCTAGAGGACAAGGAGGGCTCGGCTAGATAAGATATTCTCATATAGAAAGCTTGGGCAAAAAAAAAAAAAAAAGGAGGCCAGCTACCTGTAGATTTAAAAAACTATGCAAATTATGCAAAAAAATTACCTTACCTTTATTATTTAACGGTCTGAAATGATTAATGATATGTAGCATCCCGTACCTGTGTCCATGCTTTGGTTAAGTTGCTGATCGCTAGTCTCTCCATCTTCACTAATGTACCCGGGAGGTGGAGTTTCTACAAAAACAAAAAATAAGTCATGAGTGCACAATATACAACATGCGTTCCTGAACGAAAGTCAGCTGTAAACTCTGCCTGGATTCGCAGCATGCATGCCCATACACGGGAGTTATCCCAGCCCACCCAATCCATATGGCCAAAGACCCGAAACCCAGAAAGATGTTAGCGGTGTTGGGGGAATTAGCAGACATCGCACTGTCGGGAGGAAGGGGAGTTGATGGGATTAATCCTGAGAGAAATATACAGATAGCCCATATACAGAGAAACCAAGCAGCTGTCATTTTACTGGTTTACTATTACAGCATCTTCCTATGCCGCTTTGTGGGACTCCTGGTCTTACAGTCCTGGCTGCAGCATGTTGCGCACATCAAGCTTGCTCCTGTGATGGACCAGAATCTCAATACAAATCAGGAAACTAAACCTGAGATTGTAGTCCATGACAGGAGTGAGTTTGGAGCGGTGACTCCTTTACAACACACACAGGGACCATGGGGAACAAATGTAGCCCCCCTGCAGAAGGAAGGACAGTGTCAGCACCAATTCAGAGATGATTGGAGGATCTACAGCCGAGTGATACACAAATAAGATACATTGTTGTTAATAGTTAAGGTGCTTGAATGTTTTTTTAGGATTTAACTCCGGAGTATTGTCTTTTATAGTCCACCCTGTAACAGACATATTACCTGGTGATCCCAACAGTAGATCTGTTATTTTTCCACTTCCTTTAACAGGGTAACAACGTTGTTAAATTCAGTTGTGAAATCACTCATCATTGTTGCTGCCCTGTCTTAGCTTGCCATGTAGTTTTAAATGGGATTTCAAGAGACAAAACATTTAAAGTGATATTAAAGCCTCCTTTTTATAAAAAATATTTACTACAGGGAGACCCACCTTTGCTTGAGGCTGTTGCCGTTTTTGACAAAAAAAAAGCGCTGGGCTGTTTTTACCCTAAGGCAGAGAATGCATTAACCCCTTTGTGACGGGAGACGTACACTGTACGTCCAGCCACAAAGGGACCAAATGACTCATCACAACGCCCAGACGTTACTACTACTTTAACTCCAAAACCTCAGAAGCCTGGTAGTGTTAAATGGTGCCCCAACTCCTGTAAATGCGACTTTTGCTGGAGAGCTTGGCCTATTACAGGAAGTTGAAAATTGACAGATCTACTGGCAAGGATCAACAAGTAACAACATTTGTTGTTGGAACTCAGGAACAAAGCCTGGTAATGCCAGTGACAGACTGCATCATATTTCTCATTTTCGAGCTTGCCCAGAGTTCCACTTCAACAGTCTTTGCATTACTATGAAGTGAGCTCTGCCACCAGAACTATGGTATGACAGATGGGGTGACAGAGGACTTGCCCGCTGTGATCAAAAAGGAATAGCATAGCACTGTTGGAGCAAACTGCTGGTGGTTTTGTCCTTACCTGGTATATAGTTGCTCTGAGGCTCGATACCCGCTGGGAAATTAGTGTTTTCCGGAATGGAATGTGTGTAGTCATCTAGAGGGGGAAGTTCTGTTAAGATCTCCGTGTGCCGCGGCACTAATACCGGTGGTAAGACTGAGAGACAAGATGGGTTTTTAATACAACACACCGATATTTCTATACAGAAGCACATAATACAAGGTTCTATTTGCTGATCCAAAAGGTAAACAGTCACTGTGCCTATACAAGTTATAAATGAACAAGATGCTTAAAGTGTATGTAAACCCCAATAATTAATGTCAATTGCCCCATTTATTCTGCTAAATATACAATTGAAAGATAATTTGATACATCTGATGATCCTACCTGCACTGTTAGCAATTAGTATTGTTCTCCGTTCTAGAGACTACAGACCACCTATGTAATGAAGATGATTAGTGGGAGGTGGGGTTCTGTTTTCCTAACACTTCCTGTCAGTGGGTGGCAACAATACTCCTCTACAGATAAAGTATCACAAGGAAAGTGTTGTCACCGTAGGGACGGGAAATGGGTTGGGAAAATACAACACCTCCTCATCTCCATTACACAGAAGGGAGGTGTTCTGTGGTCCACAGAGATGACTGGGTATGATAGCAGAATCACCAGATTGAAATAAAGGAAAAGGAAAACAAATGCAGCCACCACAAGTTAAGCTGCAAGCTGGTAAGCTGCAATATATTTTTGTTCATTGGCTTAGATATACTTCAATAAGATAATTTAAAAACACATTCATTCCACTTACAGCTTGATTTTCTCAAATTCTTTGATCTAAAAGCTGAATTCCGAGCTTTTCTTTTTTTTTAAACCCCAAACTGCAAGGGTTAAATATACATAAAAATCCATCTCCAGGCAAATAAAGGTTTCCCCTGCAGTGAGGCTTCTCATTTATGTCAAGGGGACAGGAATCCCCGCTACCACCGGCTCCCTCCGGGCTGCTAGAGGGATCCCCGCAGACTCTTCTCCCCCCTCACTCCACCAGTCTAAGGACCTCTGATGTCAATTATAAAGGAAGCTCCATAGCCCTACATTGTATCCGAGGACACAAAGAGACAGTCCCCAACTGGAGCAGAGAGGGGAACAAAAAAAAAAATTGGAAAGCACCGACTGCCAGGTGAGCGGGGATCAGGTAAGTAAAAAACATTTTTTTTTCCGCTGTCCTCTAGGCATAAAATGAGCATTTGACCCTTGCACCTCTGGGCAGCCCCTCTGCAAAGAACAACTTTTACTTTCCCTGGAATCAGGCTTTAAGTCCAGGGGTAGAGGTATAATACCATATCCCTCGCTTCAGCAGACTTCTGATGCTCTTTTCTTTGACACTCCGGGTTGTGAGTGGCCCCCGATGCCCTCGCGTACAATGCGGGACTGCAGTATCCGATGTCAGCATGCGACTGCTCCCCAACGTGCCAAAGAAAAGGGGCAACGGTGAGCCAGTCCCACAGTGTATTTCAGTCTACTCCTCCCGAGACTTA